GACACTGTTCGAATATCGAATATTCATTATTACGTACATGGGCGTTGCTAGGAAATGATCGAAAATAACATTGGTCTTATGATAGAACCCTGAAGTACCCATAGGAAGCGTTACGCGGTTGAGTCAAGGAAAAAAATATTACTTATTATGTTCAATCCTTTTTTCAACTATCATAAAATGTTTCCTTATCATAGAGGAATGGGGAAAAAGAATTTTTTAAATTGGTTTAATTTTTTAATTTTTATTGATTCGTCCTCCATTTTTTTCCATCTAAACTAGTTTGCTATCGATCTAAATGTAGGAAAATGCTTGAATAACAACTAGAAAAAATCTAGGAAACACGCCCAGTATAATATTCTCGCTTAGAAGGTCGATAAGTTTCGGATAAATTTTAAGGTCGCGGACTTTGAAGATTGATGGTTGTCCAAATCGACAATGGAAGAGCCCGGCATTGACCGACGGGTCACTCATCTTTCGAAACCAGTACCGTTCCGCGGCTAAAAATAACATAAGTGAGGTCGATCATTGTTTTCAATCCTGGCGACGTGTCGATGCAATTTGCTTTCGCAATAAATCAAGTTAAAAACACGAGAGATAAAACTAATGGGTTAATCAGATTTCGATATGCATTGAAAACTCTCAAAGGGAGTGCAACTTTACCACCACCCGATTCCTAGCCAAAATTATCTCGAGAATATATAATACCATTTGTTGCTAAAATTAATCCTTTCCGAATTAAATTGGAGGTCTATAGAAGTTGATACACCCTGTATATAAAGAAAGAGAAAGACTGGTGGTATTTTTCAAATTTTAGCATTTATTAAGGTTCTTAATTGAAAATTACTACTGATGAAAATAGTATAAAGGAAATTTAATTCTGAATCCAAAACTTTGGTATGGTATCAAAACTGTGGATAGATATTTGTGTTTTGCTCAAGTAAAGTAACGTTTCAATGCAGAAACTAACAAAAAAATCGTAACAAGGACTGAAGATAGTTATAGGGACTAGTCATTAGAAGTTGTTGCAAATAGGGTGTGACCAAAATTTTTTTCCCACAATTTCTAGGACACCGTGTATATATCTCTTTTTTCTCTTCCTCTTTCTGATGTGAATGAAAAATTTTAATTAAACAATAATAAATTAACAAGAATTAAAGAAATACCATTAAGAACAGTTTATATGCATTTCCTTCTTTTGGAATCCACACTGTCTCTTCTACTATGCCATCTCCATCAAATATTTCTATAAATGTAATAGCAGAGATAAAACTACTTTCATTTTTGTGTGGTGATTAGTGACCGTTAGTCGATAATTATTTAGAAATCGTGAGATGCGGTCTGGTGTAACAGAAAAACATTTTCTTAATTTTGCCAACGTTTCGATCTTTATTGAGATCATCTTCAGGGCTCAAAGTGTTTGTCTTCTGTGTAATTGTGCCATTCTTGCGTGTTGTGGCACTCTCAACGCGACACGCAAGAATGGCACAATTACACAGAAGGAAACACTTTGAGCCCTGAAGATGATCTCAATAAAGATCGAAACGTTGGCACGATAAAGAAAATGTTTTTCTGAAACCTGCATCACACCAGACAGCATCTCACGATTTCCGAATAACTACTTTCTTTGTTATACCGTCTTATAATAGAAATTCTTTTAAGGCGTAAAATAATTGTTCAAGTCGATGAAGGCCCTTGTCTGGAATTATTGTCAATTTGGGCCATTTAAATATTGACCAACTCTTAATTTCCACCGTCACCGGCCTCACTCAAAACCCCGGTCGGCATATTTCGTCAGATACGTTTTGCAGTGTTTATTATAACTGGTAAAAATACTATTTCTATTAATGAAACCTTTAATCACAGGAAACCACAGAGGACGCCCTTCGGATCGCCGAGGTGGCAAATGGGTCAAGTTGAACACGAAATGTTTACACTGATTTGTAAACAAACAAAGTATTAAAAAAAGATATATTTTTAATTAGACATATTCACCCTCTTAAGACAATAGGGTAATGAAATAAACCAACCTCAACGAAAATTTACAATATTTACAATTTTTTTTTCAATATTTGATTTTTACCATTAAACCATGGAACTTACTATGGTTTACATGTCAGAATAATAAAATAAAAATAAATAAGCTGGGGGTTCTTCAGTGTTCTATCATAAGGTCATTGTTGTTTTCGATCATTTCCTAGCAACGCCCATGTACTTAATGATGAATATATATCTTTATACACTCAATTAAAAAAAAAAAAACTGGCCACTAGTATTTGTTTATTTTTCATAATGACTAGGTATAAAGAAATAGTTGACTTAAAACGTGCACACAACCTTAATAACTTGTTTTTAATTAGGCTGTTAATAATCCTTTTACACTCTAAATTTAAAAAAAAATTAGAACAATTTCATCTTTTCCAGACCCAACTTTTCGGGTGAATTAATGGTATTTTTAATTGTTTTCTTTTTTGTAAACAATAACTCCGATTAAATTTTTTTATTACATGTATGTGATATTTACAACTACAAATATTGTATTAAACAAATATGTTTATATATGTCGAATTTGTCATTTGAGTGTCTTGTAGGAGAGGTTGCCCAGTGAAACTCCGATTAACAAATTAATTTTTTAAAGCATGGTTTTGAGTTGAGATCTCACCCGGGCAGATGTATAAGCGCAAGTCCTGGGTGTTCAGCTCTCTAAGATGCACGATGGTCTACAGCGGTTTAGGCCCCCGGAAGTCTCGATCGAAGAGATGGTAGTAGTCGCGAAGAGACAAACGTTTTATTGCGAACACAGCACCGTCATTTAAGGGCTTCTTGATTGGGTAGTCAACTCCAAACGGTCATGATGGAATGAGCGTCTTCTTATCAGATGGCTTCGTGAGAATAGCCTAGTCTTTAGACGTCCCGCATCAGGTTCTCTAATAATGAAGAGGCGTCGAGTAGAAAGGCTACTATTCACAAATCAGCATCTCGCTTAGTCACATGAACAATGGGGGGCTTCTCTTCGCGAATGAGTGCCGGTTTGGTTTATGGCGATCAGATGACCTTGACCGTGTGTGAAGAAGACATGGAGAATACTTCATGTGCCATGTAAGAATCCCAACCGTTCCAAAGATGTTGGAATCAACGTCCATGCCCGTACCGAACTGATTATCATACCGAATGGGCCTTTAACTGCGCTAAGGTACATCGAGTAGTTTCTTCCGGAAGCTGTGGTCCCATTCGCTCCATTTATTCGGACAACTTCATGTTAATGCTTGATAACGTTCGAATGCATGTAGCTCGAGTTGTCACCCATTACTTAGAGGATGAAGGGATTACCACATTTGTCAAGGACGTTCTATTAAAAAGCCAAAAAAAAACTCTTATGGTACATGATAAAAAGACCGGTTAAAGGCGTTCATCCCCTCCAACAAGCTTTGTACAACTTGTTGAAGAACGGGATTCTTTTTCTCAAGACAAAATCCGACTACGTATTTATTCGATACACACGTAACATAGACATAAAAAGTAATAAAAACTGTAAAACTTCGAAGACTGATTAAACAAGAATATTTTACTTTGCAGTAATTTTTTGAGTTAATGTCAGGTGTCCTTAGTAGTTTATTAAAGTTCAAACTGAAGTCAAGGAAGCAGTCCGTCGGGCTTGGTCTTCTTCAGTAATCTCTCAATTAACAACTCAACACAAACACAACCAAACTTTAACTCTTTAATATTTTTGGAAGCTTTGTAAAACTGCTTTTTTTTTACTTACGTTACTTTTTTGGCGCAGCTTCATAATTGTATGTTAGTGATCAAGATCGTTTTAAGGAACGTTGTTATAAATGCAAATTTTTTTTGTCACTTTATTTATTTTACACAGTAGACAAACAGATAATTTGTACAATACATCGAGATGAAATTGATAACATGTTTAAACTAAAAATTAAATTGTAAAATATAATTTTCTTATATCAACTACAATAGAATAAAATTTGGTGCTACAGTACTCAGAGGAATTCCTATTTTATGGCTACCGCCTCAATTTTATGATAGAATGGACGTACAACAAGACTGGGGTAATCAATAGAGCTTAGTTAAATTAAATAAATGCCTAATTGTATTATTCGATATGAGGCTTTGGTTGTTTGAAGTTTTCTTAAATTTAAAGCACTTTTATAAACCTTCAGGAAGATAATTAGCCCATTTAGGGCCTGCTTACAAGAGACTTCAGCTCTAGAGAGGTTTTAGGTTGAGACAATGCATACTGCATTGGGTTCCTCAAATTAGAATTTAAAATTCGTACATTTATCTGTTTTATCCCTCAGATTAAAACAGATTCGTAAAACTCTGCATACGTAAAGGTAATGTAGCGGTCAAATATTGTATTTTTTTTTTAATTGGAAGCGAGTGTTCAATTCTCCCCTTGTGAGACAAAGGTCTATTCTCTTTTGTGGTTTGACTAATCTTTCACATGGCACATGCACCTCCTCAGCAGACCAGTCCGTACTGGATATGCGATTGACCAAGGTTTAAGGATCATTGTTATAAATGAGAATTGTTTCAGGTTCGACAAATAAGAGTTTCTTCCCAAAAGCCATAATTTATCATTTATATTAGTACGTTTCAATATTTAAAATTACTACAATTAATTAAGGTTTTTAGTTGAGATAAAAAAGTCAATGGCACGAGCGGGATTCGAACCCACGATCTTCGGCTTGATACGCCGCTGCTCTACCACTTGAGCTATCGTGACTTCGATCCACTCGGACACCAACTTCCCATCTCAACCGCACCTTTTGAATTTTCCCTCCTTTTTGCCATTTTTCAAATGTCGTGAAATCGGATTGGATTCTCGACGACAAATGAAATGGCCACGGAGAGCTTGTGGTCCGAGTGGATCGAGGTCACGATAGCTCAAGTGGTAGAGCAGCGGCGTATCAAGCCGAAGATCGTGGGTTCGAATCCCGCTCGTGCCATTGACTTTTTTATTTCAACTAAAAACCTTCATTAATTTTAATATATTAATTGGTCAAGCGGACCACGAAATTGGTGAATTTAATGATTTAAAATTACATCCAAACCACCTTGGAAATCACTGTTTTCAACCATATCATAGTTAATACTATTTTTCAAAAAAAGCTGTCGTGTCTGTCAGTGAATATTGCTAAAAGGGTGATTTTTGGTGGGGACAGAACACTGGTAAAAAATAGATACAAAATTGATCCTAGGACGCTACCCTGATGAAGACCTTTCATTTTATTTCATTTTTTAAAAATCTCTACTTGTTACATATTTTCTTCACAACCTTTCTACAACTATTTCACCAATGGCCTTTTATATGTCATGATGACAATTTAATGTAGCAAATAATCTCACTGGTATTCAATGGTAAAATGAGAAGTTCTAAGCGCCGTGAAAAAATTTGAACGAAACTACCGTTTCAAAAAAAAAAAATCCTCCTTAAATCCTTGTAAAAAATAAAAGACTTGCCCCGATTATCCTTGGAGTGTGGACTGAGCATTGTGGAGATTGGTGCAGACCTTGAAATCCAGGAGACAGCAAGGAGCTGGCTGTTGATCATTCTCAATTTAATTAACGATAACAAGTTTTGTTGCGTTTTGGACAAATTCCTTTTGTCAGCATGCGGTTGGCTGAAAGTAAAGAAAAATAAAAGTGAGATTCCATTTCGAAAAGCAACGCCTTGAATTAGTTCAAATTTATAAATAAAACTCAGAAGACCGTTGAACAATTTGTGTAACACTGGAATGTCCGAGTGACTTTAATGACAATCCCGAAGGTGTTCCAGTTTCCTTACACGTCCAAGTTCGCAACCGTTACAATTTTTCCGGACTGATCTGACGTTTAAGAAAAAAAATTTAAAGAATTGATTTTGAGAAATTTTAAAGCTAATCTGTATACAAAGTGACACTTGAATGATAACCAGGTGTCCTCCATTCATTAGTTCGAAAAATGCCAAATATATTTTTGATATTGGAGGCTTTTTTTACGGAATTCGCTAAATAAAATTTTGTTAATTGTTTTTAACAATATAGTGCTTTTTTAGGTTCAATCCTGAAGTGTATCATACGTTTCAGTTTTAAAAGAAAAATTCCAGCTTTTAAGAACTTTAGTATTGGTGACTAATGCTGAATTACGTGAGAATGTAAGCTACTCCTCGAAGATTATCGATCACAATTCGTGATTTATTTAAATGGAAACACCGTTCGTATAAAATTATACGCAAAACGTAAATGAATTCCTGCGGGGAGGTTTATCACCCAACTACCACAGTTAACCATTTTGCAATACTTTTTTCATATTATTTTAAATTGAAAAGCCACGGGCTATGCCCGGATTCGAACTCAGAACCGCTGGCATATACGAGACGGTCCTAACCACTCGGTCACCGCGGCCTCAGAATTATAGGAAAAGTTTTGCCTCGCCCTGCTTATACCCTGAGCTCTAGCCAGGAGACCAAAGTCACTTCAAACCACTCGCTTGATACAGACCAAATTTGCAAAATGGAAAGAGGTAGTGTCTTGTCTCACCTATCTTATAACCCTGACGCCTCGCAATCCGCGTTTTTTTGTGTTTATTTAAGTTGTAATACACTCCGCACTTTGTTCTAGTTCCTCGCGTTACTTCTATGAAGTACTAATAATAAAATTATTTGCTTTCATCAATTGAAATAGAAACTGATGCAACAAGAAAGCACTCTTTCTCATTGTTGGCTTTGGCTCATGCCTCTCCCTGCTTATTTCCCTGCATTATGCCATGTGACAAATCAATCAGCATCAATCCCGACAACGCCAATGTTCACCGTTTCCCCTTGGCACAGAGCAAATTCACAGCGTTATCATTCAAGGTATTTCCACTCCCTGCTTATAACCCTGACGCTGCCCTATTTGGATACCTGAAAGGAAAAAAGTGATAGAATATGGCTTACATCTTAAATAAATGCGAATAAAGTATATTATCTAATACCTTGATTATGGAGGGTTGTTTTTTAACTGAAACTTCATATAAATTCTATGCTTATTTTAATATGTGATTAATCGTCGCTTTCCAATTGACACAAGCAAAATTCCCAACAGGAAGATTCAGTCCTTTTTAAAGAAGAAGTTTCAGCGTCTTGCCTCTCCCTGCTTATACCCTGACGTAGCGCCGCACTCACCGTTCGGATAAAAAACTCAAACGTATGAAATTAGGCAGGAAAGGTTTTTTGTAACTTAAAACTAATAGTTATTATACTGTCGTAAAATATGATTATTCATCGGTTTCCAACTGCTCAAGCAAAATTCAGAGCATAAGCCTTCAGCGTCTTTCCTCTCCCTGCTTATACCAGACTTCGACGATTAGGATTTAGATATCGATTAGGATGCAAGGAGTATTTTGCCTCAAAACTAATAATTATTTCATTCAAAGATTCAAAGCTGAACGAAGAAACATAATAAAAATATAGTTGCCTCTCCCCGCTTATAATCTTGATATCGCACTATCTGACTCCAGCCAGTTAAATGAAACCTTTCCTCTCAAAACCAATTGATTTATTATATCATCCAAAGATTCAAAGTTGAAAGGAGAAAAGTGATTAAATATAGTTGCCTCTCCCTGCTTATAACCCTGACGTCGCCCCAACCGACTCGAACCAATCAAAGTAAAACATTCACGATGTGGACTAGTATCCAGGGATATCCTTCAAAAGTAATAAAATTTGTTATATAATCATCAGAACCAAAACAGAAAGATGAAATTTGATAAAATATAGTTGCCTCTCCCTGCTTATAAACCTTGACGTCGCCCCGTCCGACTCGAACCAATCAAATTAAAACATTCACTATGTTGATTAGTAGTATGCAGGGATTCCTTGAAAAATAATAAACTTGTTATATCATCACCAGAATCAAAGCTGAAAGATGAAATGTGATAAAATATAGTTGCCTCTCCCTGCTTATACCCTGACGTCGCCCCATCCGACTCGAACCAATCAAACTAAAACATTCACGATGTGGATTAGTATGCAGTGATATCCTTCAAAAGTAATAAAGTTTGTTATATAATCATCAGAACCAAACCTGAAAGATGAAATGTGATAAAATATAGTTACCTCTCCCTGCTTATAACCCTGACGTCGCCCCATCCGACTCGAACCTATCAAACTAAAACATTCACGATATGGATTAGTATGCAGAGATATCCTTCAAAGTAATAAAGTTTGTTATATAATCATCAGAACCAAACCTGAAAGATTAAATGTGATACAATATTTTATATTCTTATATGTGACAATAAATTTCACATAAGCGTTTCATCTGTCACAATGAATATAGACGATTTAGATCAAATTATTTATAACCCAATCGAAAATAAAAATAGCTTTATTTCCTCTTTTGTCGTTTACTTAAAAAACCGTCCTTGGGATCCAAAAGTGCATCATATTACCACTATTGTGCCAATTCGTTAAAGGAAGTAAGCCCGCCGATTCCAAGTACGGTGAAGGGGCCCATCCTTGATAATGGCCAATATAGGCAAATTACCAGCTCGATAATGGGAAGGCGGGTAGCTTGTTCCGACTAACCTTGTTCGTTCGACAACCTCACCCGTTTTATTTAAACATCCTTCGAAAATGTGGACTATTACTACATCCAGGGCTATGGTTGAAGGAAACAGAACAGGAAACATTAAATAATAATTGGCCCTAGTGTCTTTGTTTTAAATATATTTCCCTAATCCGGATTGTACGAATAGGGAGATACATTTTTTTAAAAATACAAAACCTTCCAAGGATGTAGGATTTTCATGTAATGAAAGAATTATATAATTGGTCATAGGCTGAAGATAATACAGACGAATAAAACGATCAAATAAATTTCATGATCTTGATGTTAAATGGTGCGGAATTTCATTTATTTAATGTTTCATGCTAAGTCTTAGTACAATTTTGCCTAACTTCAGTGCGTAAAACTTTGAATAGAGTGATCACGCAAGTACATGATGCAGATAAAACTGCATGTTGTCCCTTTGTGGAAACTTTTCATGATACATCATTCTAAAAGGACATCATTTTAAGATGTCCTGAATTTCTGATCACTTTGTAGATTATAGTTCTCAAATGTTATTCTTTTCAAGTGTGTTTCTTTTTTTTATTTGAATGTGAAAATAAAGCACAGTGTAAGGAACTTTGGGTACACAAGGAATTAGGCCATTGCTCGGAAGAGATGGCAGTCTGAAGTAGCAAGGTCAGGACTGTAGCCTGGGGTAAGGTAGGCTCGATTATATCCATTTCGGACTGATTATGCTCAGGAACCAAAAACGCTTATATATTTTAGAAAACATCAAATTTGTTCCAATACAGTTGATAATTTTGTAGTTTACTCGTCTACTTCAAAATTAAAGTTTTTGAAAGACCTGTTTCACCTGACTTAAGACAGCTAATAACTTCATCAGGGAAGAAGTTGAATGGAAAAGCGTTAAAAAAGCGTTTCAGGATGGCTAAGAATCCTAGCCCTAACCCTAGATGGCCAATTAGGAGATCCTAAAACGTAGAAGTAAAAGGTTTGGACAAGTTCCTTAAATTGTTAAAAACAAAAATGAGTACAATTAAATATTGCATTGGAAGCGATAGGTTATGATTTTTACTATTTTAAAGATTTTAAACCTTAGAGGTGAGTGCTTTTCAGTGAGAGTCCTCATTAACGCTACATAGATTCCATTTTTATTTAGAAATCGTGAGATGCGGTCTGGTGTGATGTAGGTTTCAGAAAAACATTTTCTTTATCGTGCCAACGTTACGATCTTTATTGAGATCATCTTCAGGGCTCAAAGTGTTCTTTATAATAATGTTATATAATTAATTTGTGTTTAATACTAATGTTTATATAAACACAAAATAGCAAAATCTCACTGGCACTCTCGACACGACATGCAAGAATGGCACAATTACACAGAAGACAAACACTTGAGCCCTGAAGATGATCTCAATAATGATCGAAACGTTGGCACGATAAAAAAAATGGTTTTCTGAAACATACATCACACCAGACCGCATCTCACGATTTCTAAATAAATATCGATTAACGGTCACTTATCACCACACATTTAGATTCCATCGTGCAGATGTGAAACAGTTCAAATTTAATAGATATATGCAATAGAAATAACGAAGTCGCGATAGCTCAAGTGGTTATTGAGTATAATCGAGTATTGAGCGGAAGGTCGTGGGTTCGAACCCCGCTCGTGACACTAACTTTTTCATCTCGGCCAAGACCTCACATAAAAAGAATAAGAGAAATCACATTGAGATGATAGTAACTACATATTTTGTAGGCGTGGTCGACTGAGAAGCTCTCGTGTATCAAGAACACTGTCGATACATGGCATTTTTGCCCTCAGAGGACTTGGCCCATGTAAAAAGTGTCATCTTCATTAGAATTAAAATATGCCATGCAAGGTCCTATTTTAAATCACAAGGACATTTTTGGACCAATGGCCGCATACGTGTGTGGCATGTAGAGAAAGATTGCAGGTTGTGTCCCATCTAAATGAAGCAATTCCTTGGCTCCATATATGAAGCAAGTAGGAATGCCGCCCGATATGATAATACTTGAGCATGGCAGCGAGTATTTGGATTATTTTATTATGTGTAGTACTGATAGATTTGTGACCGTAGCGTTGATTGGTGTGTAAGTGTAGTTCGTGGGGACCGATGGCGGAATATTTAGAGCCTCTTCCACCCTCAATTACGTTAGTTAAATAATAGATATAAAACGTCATAAAGGAATGACGAGTATCCATCATCCTATCGGAGTTGCACGGCCGAAGAGGGCCGGATGATCTAAAAGCGAAGAAACGAATGAGCAAGCGTCCATTAGAACCAATTCGTTCGGTCGTGTTGGGCCGTGTACGGCCGAAGCATTTTCCGATCCAAATAAAGTTGGATTTTTCCAGTCCTATTCGGCCGAATGGTTACTTCAAATTCAACTGTCAACCACGTGACATCAAACGCTCACCATTGTTTAACGCCGTTCTTTGCTTTTGGCTTACCTTTTCGTTTCGTTTTCATTCGATGCGAAAAATTGATAAGTGCGGTTGAGGAGCAGGCTCTTGGGACATGCGTGATCCACTCCATCATCGGAGAGATGTCCAGCGTAAGCTGTGGTCAAGGATAGCTTTAGAAATGGAACTTCCAATATTTTTGTTTATTTCTTTCATTCCATTTGTATGTAAATTAAGAAATTTCGAGCAGCAACAAATCTTCTACATCCATTTGGGCTGTGTCGTGAACTGACGCAAATCGGTTACAGTGGACGACGGCGTTCGGCTATATTGCCGGTCGTCCGTTTGGTGAAATAGTTCGGCTGTTGAACGGCCGTCGTAGTTTGGTTCCAATGGACGAGCAGCCTAAGAACTGTATGGGCGATGGACGAATATTGAGTCCACCACCCTGAGGGAATGGCATGTCAATAGGAAAGAATTTATTTTAAAATGAACGACACAACGTTTGAGGCTGAAATGACCTGTTGATAGCCCCTGAAGCCTAGCTCGATGACTGGACGGATAAGACCAAGGTTTGACGCCGGACTGCCATCGCCCGGGTGGGTGATTATCGAGGCCTGCCTGTAATTTATCGTAAATTGCCGGTGGTCTGCATGAAATGATAGCTCAAATCGGTACATGCCTGTGCAGATTTTAGCCTGTATAAATCAGCAATCAGGTAATTTTAGTTTGGCATCCGATCATTTTGGTCTGCCTATCCTCGCAATCGGTCTGTCAGATCCAGGACTAACACTAAAGATGAGGCAGACCAAACCAGCGAGGAAAGACAACCAAACTCTTCCGAAAAGCACAAATAAAGGAGGTACCATGAACAATCTTGAAAAAAAGTCTTTTCTGTTCTGGCTAGTAACAATTTAGTTGTTCATGGCCTTTTTAAACCGTTTCTTTCCTCCTTTGATACCGATAACCTTTCGAGTAAATTGGTTGAAGTGAACACCGTTTCCTCAATTGCATGACGTCCTAACAGAAAACTTTGTACGACTGGAAATAGTTTTCCCCCTGTTAAAATGTAAACAAACGCGATGACTAATAACCCGTCCTATTTGGTCACCGTCTGCTTTCATACTTGATCGGCAAGTACCGCTTTGGGATTCCCAGCGCGGAAGATGGGGCTTAGTTTATTCACAGATGGCCGGGGCATTCATCCGACCCGGTTCCAGCCTTGAAAAGCGGGAATTCACATTTTCACCTTACACATGTGACAGTTATCTTTCTTTGTTTTGTTTGTTTGTTTTTGTAGGTCGAGGGGTCTCTTTAAATCCTCCTATTTGAACAGACGCGGAAATTGGACGGAATTTATGGCAACTTCGTGTTATCTAACAAGCAAAAATATGACTAATTTACTTAATTTACATAAGACCCAAATGAATTAATTTTCACAATCGAATTATGACAGTATTAGAATGTAGAAAGCAGTATTAGCAGTTACTGAGGATTTATTTTCTGAAGTATGGTTGGAAAAATTCAACACAAGTTGGAAATGTCAAACTATGTACTATAAAACTGAGAATCTTAAAGGACTTTTAAATACAGTTTTATTTTATACTAAACTGTAATATTTTTAAGAAATTGTAATAAATACTCGATGCATTTTTTGTAGCCTTTGTAATATGCTGCATGATCAGTCATTAATTTTTCCCAAATATTTTGGTTTATTACACCGTGGGAGCTTTTGCAAGAAGGGTTGCCTTTTATTTTTACGCTGCTTATTTTATTGTAAAAATAACAATCGCCCCTCAAAAGTAGTTTTTCACGCAGAATCTGCCGGTGCTGTTAGAATTTTAATAAGTTGGCGCGGTAAGACAACCTGGAGCCTTTTCCATTATAAAAAACCAGAAACTCAATAATTCATCTGTTTGTTCTGGAGAAATTTGACATTTTCGTTCAAAAATCTATCATTTCTATTTATCGTGTAATTGAGTGGAAAAATAAGAAAATTGAAATTTATAATTGAATAAAATTCAAAAATTTAATTTGTTTTGATTTAAATATTGATTTGAAACATAACATTAACCAATAATAAATAGTTACACGATGAATTGAAATTATCAAGTTCTGAAGGAAAACTTCAGGTCCCCAGAAGGAATCCATTGATTTTTTTCAG